CAAATTTTAACTCGGTGTTTTATATTTGCTCAATCTTAACTCACTTAGGCTGGCCTGGCAGAAGGCTAGTAACAACACAGGCATAACTAACAACCCCAGTACATTTCTCGTCGAGATATGTCAAAGATATTTATCAAAAACGTCAACTTCGAGGGATCAGAATAGTAACATCGCCGCATAAAGCACTCCAATTATTAGCAGTACAGGTAAATAACAAACAAACCATAACGCGATTCGTGCTGAGGGGTTCAGTTTGTTGGCCCATAAATGGGCAGTTGGGTGTGCCGCAAATGAACAAGGTGGTCTGTGCCCCGATGCCTTCTTCTTCTTGCTGTCCCTCGCAACAGGGCTGCATTCTGCGCTGGCAGTTAGAACATGAGACGAGCAGTGCACGCGTTGGGTCATCGAGATCCACCGGCAGCTTTGTGACGGTTGCGAATACAATTCCGAAGCCAGAGTTTACTAACAACAGGTCAATAGTTCAAAGTGAGAAGCCGCTTTTGACTGAATAATTAAAAGTGGCGGTTTACGGTTATGTACATTTACATATCGAATTCAGCTACCCGACTACGAAATAAAAGGTGAAAAAGCGGGCTATATGGGGTACAGTTACCTTGATCTATTTGCTCTCCCCAAAGCATGTAACTTAGTTCGGTTCATAATATTCAAAATGTAAATTGGCGAGTATACGTTTGCTTTCAATAAATTATATGCAGACCTGTAGATTTGCATCCTTATTAACTAAATATAATTTGCGGGTTGGTTGAGATATTCTTACGTTTGTCAGAGTCAGGGGGAAAATTGTGCCCAGTACTCCGATCAGCGTCAGCGGAATGGGTCGCCTTAAAATGTAATTAGCTGCGGGTGGTAGCATTTTTACTACTTTCAATTATGATAACTGCGATGCCTTTACAAAATTATTTTGAGCGCACAGGACCGGTTTGCGTAACTTGATTGCAGCCGCTTCTGTAATAGTCAACAGTAGCTCTCAAATGAAGTTTTGAAAGTTTGAGGAAAGCTTTAGATCACTCGGCATGCCGCTTTGGCATCTACGCCATGATTTTTGTCTTGTTTAGAGGTGCATCTATGCATGCTAATTTATCTTTTTAATTTTGTAATGGACATTTTCGCAATTTTAAACCTAATACCTCGCGGAGATTTGTTACCAAAAAATAAACGGCTCCAGACGAAGCGCATTATTTTGTATATTAAAGCACTTTGTAGTGTTAGTGCTTGACTTGGAGATTCACGAGCCTTCTACAATAAGAAGACAGTAGTATACACGAATATGCTTAGATGCGAGGCCTCAGTTTGGCAAAGCTATGCGGCCGCTCATGAAGAGAAAGAAGGTATGCTTTCTTTTTACTATGTCACAGGCCTCCTTTTCCATAGTACATCCTCTCTATAAAGTATATTCTTCCGACATTTACATAGGTAAAAATTATGATATTCGGCCTTTCCAGGGCAAGTAACGCGATACACAGGTAAACTTTGTATGCACAAAAAAGGCACTCGAGGGCTGAAAATATTTGTTCGACGTTCAGTACACCATTCAAAATGATGTACATCAAACCCTAAACTCGCGGGCATTTGAAAAGGTTTTGACGTTTTCCTTAAATTGTGTATTATTTCCTAACTTGTATACATCGGCGAGCGCCCCATAATGCTTACCTTAATTTTAATAATGGTGTGCTGTACGATTTGACGAAACTTCCAGTCCCCTGTTAAAAATAGCGGTAGTGAGCGACTAAAACTTATGTTTGCTTTCTCCTGAATGTGGTCGCTCCTATTGTACCTTGTTTTTTAAACGGCCATTGAAAACGATTTCCCAATCATATGCCAATTTTAAGTTAGTATTTTACGTATTTCAATGCAAACTATCAGTAAATCGCACATAAATTCATCAAATATTTCTACTATACAACCCAGTCGTTGTTTTTGCAATAACAAGAGCTTAAATGC